GCAGGAATGGGGGGCAACATTCACCAAGCACCTTTCTCCAGCTGTTTGCCAGGCATCAGCATTGAAGACGCAGGAAAGGAAACCTTAAACCAGCTCTATCTTGGAACAGTTGCTGCCTCAAGTCTCTCTTCCCCCCGCATGCTTGTTGGAACAACTTTCAATTGTTAATGCCCTCCAGCGACATGTCCCACAATGCTCTGCTGCCTGGCACTGGGGTAGGAGCTCCAAACAGGCCGTCCTAGCCTGGACGACTCCTTAGCAAAGAGGCATGGGGCCTCTAAATCCCCGCAGCTAGCCAATGAAATACTGTATCTCACGCACTATGTGCCCCACAACTTCCCTCCTTTGCACTCTGCCATTCAAAAAAACAAACAAACAATTTTTCCCCCTTTTGAAACCAAATGGAACAGGCCAAAAAGCCAAATCTTCAGCTCAACTCAGTCTCTTTTTCCTGCCTGTGCAAAAGCTACCATTTCAAGCTTTGCACAAAGGCTCAGCCAAAAGCTGAAACCCTAGCTGCTGCTGAAGACAGGTATCCAGGGCTGGATCCATGATTTGAAAGAGAACTAACAAGTCTCCAAGACAGACTCAGGAGGAGAGAGACCAGGCAGTTAACTGGCAGCAGAACTGCCCTAAGAAAAATTAGCTTGATTAGTGGAACATCCAGACCTTTGAGCAAAGAGACTGTTGTTACTGCCTCCGGAGAAAAGAGCGATGAGCCGTTAAAGTGAGCAGACTTCCTCAGCTGCCTGAATACCAGTGCCACAGCTGCTGCAAGCTGGAATCAAAGTAGGGAGCTTGTATCTTAGGCAGAGAATCAGCTTCCCCACTTAATAAGCATCCAACTCATGTGGGTAGGGAGGAGGGTACATATTGTGTATCAGAGAATACAGTAGCAGGCAAACCATCCCTAAGTGCAGAAAGAGACATCCAGAACTGCAAGGCAACAGCGATGACTCCAGTACAACCCCTCCTAGCAAAATGAGGTTAAGAGAAGTCTTACTGGGAGCACTGGAAGCTGGTGGTAGTAGTGGGATCTCCTCATCGAGCTGGGAGAAACCTTCAGTGAAAGCCTCAAGGGGTTAAGAGCAGTTTTCCCTACCCTGAGCGCACCCCAAACCAGTCACACCAGTTCTTCTAGTCCCCCCCAGCACTGGATTGCAAGCCCAGAGGGCTGAGGTTCTGTCAGGAGTGGTAGAGGCCAAGCCAGCAGCGTGGAGCAGAGGTAGGAGAGGGGAGGTGTTGGCTCCGGGTTCATATCTCACCCACGGGGAAGGGAACAAAGAACAGAGCAGCCGATGGGGAAGACAGCACAGGGCAGGGGGCCAAAAGCAGAGCAGCCAATGGGGCAGGGGCACAGCTTTACCATATTTCTGGCATATAAATGCCCCCTGTAGTTTCAAGCAGCCGTATGCCAGACAATACAGTAACATCCCCAGTCCCAGCAACTGTCCCCTCCCCCGCCATAGGGATCTCTTGCTGCTCCTGCCCAGCTGGCTCCACAGAGCCCTTTGCAAGCAAAATTGCAGGGCCCAAGAATCCAAAATAGCCCAGAGCCCCACAAGGGCCAGCAGGTGGGGGGAGCGGGAGGTGATGGAGGGGTCAGGATGGCTAATTTGGGAGGCAGATGCTCTGTGCTATATTTAGCTTTGCCAGGATCCCTGGGCTGGCTGAGACCCAAGAGTGATTAGGCCGGGGAAAGGGGCTGGGGGCAGAGGGCTGGGTCAGTCACACAACCTCAGTGTGCCTCAGTTTCCCCAAGTACGAGCTCCACCCCCCATCCGAATTGAATTACAGGGGGTAAGACGATAGGATGATGAAGCAGCCAGAGGACTGAGCGGGCCAGAGACTGGGCAATACTGATACTGAGGGTGGGGGGCAGGAAAAACAGGACAGACAGGAAGCCTGACCATTCAGGACACGTGAATGCAAGGAGCGGTCTCACCAGATAAGGACGGGGAAGGAAAGAGGGACTGGCAGGGAGTTTCTTCTTGCATGCCAGTTCCAGCTTCACTGTGCTGGAGAACCCAGGCGTCCCGGCTCCCAGCCCCTCTGCTCTCACCCCACCCCACCCCTCCCAGAGCTGCACAGTACCCAGGCGTCCCGGCTCCCAGCTCTTATCTCCCCTCCGCAGGGGGCAGGGAGCAGAGCTTCGCCCCTCGCAAGGGGACCTGGGAACCCGGGAGACACGTGTTGCCAGCACATGCATGCGAGTTTTAACATGGGGAGGTTGGTGGCTGTGACCCTCCAGTGCAGCTCCCAGGGGGAAAACTAGCTCCCCGGCCCCAGGACCCCCACACCATACGGGGCAGGAGAAAGAGGGGGCATGACTGGGGGGGGGGAGCTCAGAGTCCCTCCCCACCCCCCCACATAGAGCACTCAGGGTGGCATGATGAGCAGTTACCATGGTGACAGCATCCACAGCCCAGCCGCACCATGAACCCTGACATCCGGGACCTGCACACGCGTGCGGACAAGAGATCCTGACAGCCACGCAAGCAGCCTCGAGGGGAGGCTGGGGTCACCACCCCTGCCCTGCGGGGAGGGAAACTGAGGCATGGGGAAAGGAAGGTTCAGGATAGAACCGGATGTCTGGACACTCCCAGCCCCCACTCCCCTCCCAGAGCTGGCGGCACCCCAGGCGTCCAGGCACCCAGCCCTCACAAAGGCACCTCCCCCTATCGCAGCGCCCTGAAAGATAGCAGCTAAATCGAATCCCTGCGGCAAGCGCTCACCCCAGCCTTTGGAAGCTAAGTCCCACAATCATTAACCCGCCCCACTTAATTGACTTGGGTAATGAGTCCTGAATTGAAAATTAATTAATAATTACCAGGTAGCAACACTACCTGGAGCGTGAACCCAGGTGTCCGAGCACCCAGCCCCTCCCCTGCTCCAACCCCTCACCCCCGCTCGCCTCCCACACCTAGAGAGGACCCAGGGGTCCGGGCTCCCAACCAGCACTTAATCCCTTCCTAGGGCTGGGAGGGGACCCAAGAGTGGGCTCCCAGCCCCACTGCTCTAACCCCTCGCCCCTACTCCCCTCCTAAAAGCCATACCCAGGTGTCCCGGGTCCCCTGCTCTCACGCCCCAGCACAACTCTCCTCCCAGAGCTGGAGGGAACCCAGGTGTCTGGGCTCCCAGCGCCCCCCTCCCCCCCTTGGCAATTGTAGTCCAGGGCTCCCTGGCTCTCCCACCTTGCTTTGGCCACTGGCTGGACTACCTTTCCCACAATGCACTGGGGTCAGCCATCTAGGATGGTGTCATACCCAGGTGCATGATGGGAGGTAGAGTCCAGCCACTGACTCTGAAGCTCAGGGGTGAAGGGGGTGGGGGGTGCACTAGACAGCAGGTCCTACAATGCACTGGGATCAGCCCTCTTGTCTGGGGAGGGTTAAGCCCCTGGCACAGATGCATGATGGGGAGTGTAGTCTATTCTGTCATTTTGGACTTGGGAGCTGAAGGGGGGAAAGACTATATTTCCCAGGATGCACCAGGGCTTCAAAGCAACCCCTCCAGGGGCGTTATACTCGGCTGCCAACACGCCCTTTCCAGGAGGTGGGCGCATCTGTTATACTCATGTGTGTCCCAGATGCACGTGTTGTGTCCCGGATACCTGGGTCCTGTGTGGATGTGTTTGGGGGCTCGGGGTGTTACACACGGGGCAGGGTGGGGGGTTGCCTGGGGCTGAGAGTCAGAGGTATACCAGTATCCCTTCCCAGTTTGAACACTGGAAAATCAGGGCCCTATTCCCAGTTCAAGCCAGTTTGAGGGTCAGAAACCAGAGTCCTAGTCTCAGTCCATGGGGCAGGAATCAGAACCCTGCTCCCAGTCCAGACCACTAGAGATCAGAGCCCCAATCCCAGTACACCCCAGTACGAGGGTCAGAAACCAAAGCCTCAGAACCAGTCTACCCCAGTACAAGGGTCAGGGATCACAGCCCTAGTCTCAGTCCACACTAGTACAAATCAGAGCCCTGTTCCCAGTTCACCCTAGTATGAGGGTCAGGAATCACAGCTCTATCCCCAGTCTACCCAAGTACAGATCAGAGCCCCAGTCCCAGTCCGCCCCAGTACAAGGGTCAGAAACCAGAGCCCTATTTCCAGTCTGCACCAGGACGAGGTGTAGGAATCAGAGCCCTATTCCCAGTCCATGCTAGTACAGATCAGAGCCCTAATCCCAGTCCACCCCAGTATGAGAGGCAGAATCCAGAGCCCACTTCCCAGTCCTCACCAGTCACCAGCCTCTGCCCCACGGCAGGCCCGGAAGCACCAAACTGGCCCAGTACGATGCCAGGGCACAACCCAGGAAGCCCCAGTTTCTCCCTGGCCAGAGGAAGAAGGCAGGGAAGGGGAGACTGGGAGGCCTGGCTTGGCGCCAGCGCCCTGAAAGGAGCCAGGCCTGGCTCCCATCACGCGGCTGGGCCGGAGCCAGCTGAATAATTACCAGCGAGGACAAGTTGTTAAGTGAGGAGATGGTTATCTCGGACCTGTGCTGAGAGGCCCCTGCGGCTCCCAGCCAATGGCAGGGAGACCCCCACGTTCTAGCCATGCCCCCTTTCCCAGCAGCCAATTGGATCCCTTTTTGCTACACATTCAGTATGGACCAGTCCCATATACTCACCTAATGTCCACACGTCCCAGTCTGCACCCTCCCATTGCAGTCCAGTCCACACTCCTAAGACACAGACCCATGAACAGCTAGAGGTAGACACCGGTCCATATTGAAGGATAGCGCCTGGCCTGTTGCAGGCAACTGGGACCACTGGGGCTTGACGGACTGGAGGGTCAGAGCAGCTCTGGACCAGCGCATCGACACCAGTCCCTATGAAGGGGGAAGAGAACCTCAGTCTGGTCCATATCAGAACATTATAGACCAGTCCCTATTGCGGGGGCAGGGGAGAGGATCTGTAACACCACCCTGTATTCCAGCAGGGGGAACACTGAAGGGTTAATTACTACCATGAGTGGGGGGGAGCAGTCTGTACTGGGAAATATGGACTGGTCTGTAATGGAATAGGGAGAACATACAAACCAGTCTCCTTTGCGGGGAGCCCCCAGGCTTGGTCCATACAGCATTGTATGGCCCAAAAGGGAAGCCGCCTGTCCAGAGGGAGCCACTTGCCCCAGTCCATACAACCCAATACAGCCCTATCCATAGAGCCCTATACCAAACACGCCACCCCAGTCCATAAGGCCCAACACAGCCCAACCCAGGGGAAAGCCCCAGTCTGTACAGCCCTGCACCAAACTCCCAGCCCTGGTCCATATGACATCGTGCAGCCCTGCCCAGGCCCACACAACCCAATCTGGAGGGATGGGGAGGTCCACATGGTGCGATAGAACCTGCCTCTTATAGGCCAGGTCCATAAGACCCTATATAGCCCAGGAGGAAGCCCCCCAGTTTGGGTTCATACAGTCCTATCCAGCTCGATGGTGGGGAGAACCCCCAGCCCCCGTCCATACAGCCTGGCCCTCTCCCCAATATGCCCTGTATATCCCTTTGGGGGGGTGGGGGGTGGAAGCCAACTGCCCCTGTCTATACTGTGCTGTAGAGCCCCGCCCTCTGGGGAGGGAACACCCCAGCCCAAGTCCATACAGAGTTATATGGCCTGGCCTGGGCGAGGAAGGAAGCTCCCAGCCACACATTGTACAGCCCAGCACTGCCTGGCCCTGGCCAGGGGGAGGGCGCTTGCTCCAGTCCATACAGGCCTATAGAGCCCAGCCCATATGATGTCACGCAGCCCCACCCTCCCCTCCCCAGTCCACTCAGACCGGCTCTGGTTGGGGCAAGAGGAGCAGGACAGCCCCTGCCCAGTCCATACAGGGCTGTAGAGCCCGGCCATTGGGGAGGCCCCCAGCCTTGGTCCACATGACTCCATGAAGCCCAGCCCCTCCTGCACCCGGTCCATCTGACATCATGCAGCCCCCATCTGGTCCATATGACATCATACAGCCCGGCCCCTCCCCGCCCATTCCATACAGGGCTGTAGAGCCCAGCCCTCAGGTGGGATGGGAGGGGGACAGCCCCCGCCAAACCCCGGGCCATATGACGTCACGCAACCGGTCTGGGTGACGTCACGCACCCAGCCAGCTGGCCGACCACGCCCCCTTCCCCAGCCTGTGGCGCCGGCCGCACTCACCAGCCCGCTCCGCCGCGCTCCAGCGCCGCTTCCTCGCCCGGGGCCCCACCTGCCCTGAAGCCCCGCCCCCTCGCTCCCCATTGGCCGGCACCTCGGAGCCCCGCCTCCCGCGCCCACCCATTGGCCAGCCGCCCATCCCTCATCAGTTCAAGCCTGGAGCCCCCCCCCG